CTAGACCGTGCGTATACATAGGCTGCCAGTTTTCCATTCGCTTTTCCTCCGATTTCTTATTTTAGGCTTCGTGTATTCGTAATGTGGTTGAAGAGTGCAATAATGGAAATTACTGATGTTGTTGCCTACGGCTATTTTGCTGCTGCTGATGTTACTAAGGCTGTGGTTTCAGATTGCTGAAACCCGGATTATAATGTTGGAATAAGCTATGACTAACATGCGTCTGAAGGCTAAGAAGCATATAGAAGTTTATTGTTTTAGATCCGATGACAAGTCGGTTTGGCAGAATTTTGAACACACAAACTCTTTGCCATACGACTTGTGTGGTACTTTTTCTGGTGTCCCACTTCGAACAGATTCTTTAAAGCCGATAACTGACACCCGTCACATATCCTCTTTGGCGCGATTGTATGATCCGTTAGCAGTAGCAATCTCGTGGGTTCGAGACCGTGCCTCAGACCTCCGATTGGATCCACTGCCTGCGAGCAATTGTTTTAACGGTTTAGGTAAGAACACGACGACCTCTGTTCCTAGGCTAGTGCTGGTCATCGTCGACGGTGGCCCAGCTCACTATTGGATAAGTTTGTGATGCATTGAAGCCAACGTGTCCCGAACAATTTCCGATCCGGCGATCTAACTTTCATATGTGATACAATAACGCTGCGGTGAAGCAGAATAATCCATTGAAAGTTGTTTGCTCCTAAAACCTAGTGAACGTTCCTAAAAGGCTAAGAGTATTTTACACGAGCGCTTCGAACAACCTGACATATTAGCGAGGATCCATATCAATGCTTTAAGTGATGTACCTAACATCAAGCATTCTGATTTTGCAGTCGACTCTCGTTCAATTGTGAAACTGCGATCACGTTACTCAACTCTGAAAAAGTTGAGATATGACGCTGATCTGAACGAGTTGCGAACAATTAGCTCTATAGTCAGACGACTGCCCAAGAATTTGCATTTCATGTGGGCCGCGCAAGCCGATTGGATTATCCGGACGGAAAGCGAGCCAGATTTTATTGCATTGACGGAGCTTGTGGATGAGACAGCCGACGTTGCCAACACCTATCTGTGTTTTATCACACGTCCATTCAGATCCATCGAGGGAAGTATTGGCGTAAATCTCCTAGGGCGTGCCGCTTACTGGAATACAGTAAGATACGTAGAACGGCCTCCTCCGAACTTAATTTCATGTGAACGACATCCTTATTTAGATTAATGGGCTGAACTCCAAAAACTTAGCTACCACAAGCGTCAGGAATATCATTGCTTCTACCGATTGTTCTGACTGTGCCTTAATCCAAAGTTACAAGGCTGCCGGTCTGGACAGTATCGTGGGTTAAATAACTAAAGACTACTTTACCACCCGTCGCTACATGCTGATCATGGCAAAAATTCCGGGACATTGAATACTGAAGAATCTTTTTTCGCTCTAAGCCATGTAGGGAATCCTGACGTTTCTCTTTGTGTGTTGACCGTTGTATTCTCTGATCCTGCTGGCACTGTACGGACGCTAGCCTTGGTGGATCACAGATCAGACATTACGTTGATCGATTTCCATTTGCTTTCATCTAGGAGGTTGTAAGGGTCTGTGAAGACACTGAACCTAATCAACCTCGCTAGTCGATGATATGTAAAGTCGCAGTTAGTTACTTTAATTGTTCAATAGGTAGATGGTAATGATGCAGTCCAATTAGACTCTGTCAGGTCCACCAGTCGTCTCGCCAAAACGTTTGGAATGCAAAGAAGAAAAATCGACTTCTACAGATGGCTTCAATTATGCGACTTCGGACTCCAGCATAGAAGATAGAGCTTCTGAAAGGCAGTGATAACCTATATCTGCACTGGGCTGGATAGTGTTGGGTCCGGCAGTCTGTCCGAATTTACGGTGGATCAGTCTATGTTATTTGTAGTGGACCGCACAAAGTGGGTAAATTTTTTTCACTGCGAAATTACCGAACCACCCCATCTATTCGAACAAACGTATGGAACAAATTTCGACGTATTTGACAGTCCCCGATTGAACATGTCTGTGAAGGACAGGCGGCACTTAAACTAATGGATGCATCCGTAAAAAGAGACGGCAATCGTTACGAGACCGTGTTAACGTGGGAGGCTGAGATACGACCGTTACCAGATAATAGAGAGGTAGCACTAGTGAGAATCGAACAGTTGAAGAAACGGCTATTGAAGGATGTTTCGCATCCATAAACACAATGGCAGAATATGTATTTAAAGGACGCGCCAAACTGGATCAAAGGATAATTCTAGTACCTTACACATTACACTGAAACACATTCGCGTAAACCAGGTAAAGCACAAAGAGTTTACGATGCTCAGGCTGCTTAACGCAGGTGGTCTCTCAATCAATAGCATTTGCAGGGACTCGATTCGTCCGGAAGTTTATTTGGATTTTCCTTGCGGTTTAGATCCTGCTCAATAGCGACCGCATTCGATATTGAAGTAATGTTCTAACAGTTCAATGTTCCCAGTCGTGCTGAAATTGCTTGCGTTTTCTATGGTGGGGGAACATCAATCTCTGCTTATCTCTCATTTAATATCGCACATCCGTTTGGAGCAACTTCGCCAACTAGTTGTGCATGCATTGCTCCACACCATGTCATTATCGTGTATACAGGTGAATCCACTGCGAAGTTTCTGACGTCGCAAATAGCTGTTTCTGTGCCGACGATTGCCTCTTCAGTGTTGATTCTATTCACGAAGCGATTAAACTAGTGAAGAATTGTTCCCGTATATTGGTCGATAGAGAATTTTAGTTAACAAGGTGGATCAGTAACTGAAGACAGGTTATCGTGCATTTGCTCAACAGGAATATAAAGATACCCAGTATAAGATATCTAAATGATGATAACTGCCTCGAGGTGCCCATGGTGTTAAATGGAACTTCACCCAGGGCCGCGTAAACTTTAAGCTGGCGATTTTTGATAAAGCGTTAACTCGCAGTGGCATGCTCTCATTTGTCGCTTCCATCTAGGATCTTCTGGGGTTCATTGTATAATACTGTTTTTATCAAAGTTACTAACACAAAATTTCCTAAGAAGGAAGTGGGATTTGAATGAGCCCATCTCATCGAAACATAAATGCATTTGAAACCAGTGGTTGTCGTATTTGTATTATGGCTCGCTTCCGTTGTATACTGAAATTCTGGCAATCATCCCACTGAAAATATCTGGAGATTGGAACAGTGCAGCTTATCTTGTCTAAATCCAACACAGTTACTCGCGATCTCGACTGTAGATTCTGTCTTGTTCCTATAGCTAGCTGATAGTTTGTTTCCAAGTAATAACGAAGACTAACTGTAGTTATCCGCTGGACACTTCTAAATTAACTTCTAATTGCATTATTTACTGTCCTCAAAAATTCATGGTTTAATGTTTGTTTTAAATGTCCTACTTGCCATTACAAGGACTCAAAAAGTGTTACCTTTAATAAACCACTATTATTCATACAATGGAAGGAGCAAGGATACGGCAGATTCAGCGCTGCAGTATGCGTTTAAATAAACTCGAAGCTAAATAACTAAGATTGCCAATGGAACCCGTCGACCAATATCCTGGGATAAGATTCTGACAAACCATTCATTTTGACAAATTGGGCCTTACGTATATTTGTGACAAAAAACAGAACAAGCAACACAGATTTTAACACTATCACACTGCCTCTCTGAATACCGCCCATGACATCCACCATACCAATAGCTAGTGGCCTTTAATTGACATGCCATATTCGAAGAAGACCACTCCTGTTGTCTTAGTCATAGTTATCTTCAACTGCTTTTCTGGGTTTGATTCTTCATTAATCGCTTGTTGTCATCGCAGCTGTGACACTGATTCCACGACCTCTAATTCTGACACTTTTGTACTCAATTATATTTGGCGAGCCCAATCTAACTAACAACCGATGATCGATGTTTCCACTTTGTTAGTGACGGTCTCACATGAGAAAGTTGGTGCAAATGAATTGTAGAAGTCACAATTCACTGAATACTTCAAGCACATTGCGATACTGTCGATTTTCTCGTCTCGTTTTTGGCAGAACCGAATTGTTCCCCCAACAACAGAAGTTACTGCAGCTTACCTGGACATGTGTTGCATACATTTCTGACTCCTGGCTCGGACCAAGCTTGCACACCATTGCGAACGGTACGTTGTAGTACATTTCGCAGACCGGATATTTATGCATGCAAGATCGGAGTATATATTAAGGTGAAATATAGTCGAAATAAACCCTCATCGTCTATAACCATAATATGGTTTTCTCCTCAGAATTGGTGGAAAACTTGAGTGTATCGCAAATTCGGAATTTCAACGTGAAGTCAACAAAGTGCTTTATGCACCCAGAACGAGTGAACATTTTACTAGGTTCTGTCCAGACACAACATAGCTTTCCGCTTCGCAGGTACAGTCCAGTTTAACTCGGTTGTTCGAAGTGATTCACATATCAGAAAAGTGCAGTGACGACCAAACTACTGACCAGTATAAATTGACCGTCTTACTTTCTTATCCCTCACTGCTTACTCAAAAGCATAAAATACGGAATATATCACTGATGGAATTCTGGCTTCATCAGTCCTATAAAACCGTTCAGTGACCAGTGATTTAACTAAAAACCCCTCAAATACCGACTTCTTGCTTGTGGAGAATAGTTGAGTGCGCCGGCTAGCCGCTTGAGAGCACATTTCTCCACTTGATTTGCTCCATTATTTAGCACATATTTCTTCCGTTGTCTACGGCTTTACCCACGAGGCACCAACGACGAAAACAACGTCGACCTCAGCATTGACTCATTAATATGTGCTCGTCTACAGTGTAGTTTTCCTAGACGCCTCTATGCTGTTTGCTGATTTCTGTCGAGCTGTTGGTTAGTAATTCCTAGCTTTGTTAAATGATTGACGCTCAATCAAACCTTTCTTGGCAAGACTTCGTATAATAATTTGGTCTCAGCTGCATGCAAGATTACGCCTTAATCCATTCTTTCAGGTTACAGTCAACTGTCGGGAGATCACAATGGAGTGGAAAGGTGCCGCACAAATTATCATGCTGACTTACCATTTCAGCGGTGCTCAAAACGTGAGTAGCATTGAGCTACTTGGCTCTAATTCATGTCAATTATTCCCAAGAGTCTTGTTATTCAATAAAGAATTGTGGCTGTACCTCCTTTGGGAAAATGGCTTAAACTAGATTTTGACGTTGACGTTTTCAGAACAACAATTGCCACATCACTTGCTTCCTCATCTTGGCTTCCCTTTCCAACATCCTAGTTTCGGCCCAACTACTTGATGGCACGTGACATACTCAGTACATTCCTTTTTCTCTCCGGATTCGGGCATTTTCCGCACTTTTGGAAACAATCCATATCCAGAATCGGATTGCTCCAGGGGATGAAGGAGGGAAAATGTGAGATTATTTTGCTTTGGCTGAAGCGTTTGTTGTATAACTTGTAACCGGATTAGACTGTGTTATGCCATTCTGCTTAAGATGACAACTGATGAGCAGTGTCTGATTAGACGTGAGCACAGCACACAATTCCTCCAACGGTATTATGAATATTTTTAATATTTAAACTTATGTATAAACGTAATCGAATCAGGAATGTCCGTTTTGCAACCGTTCATGTTAAGTCGTGGTAGCACTTGAACACATTAGGTTGGTTCAAGTTGGATTTTCATGTTTGTGGTGCAAGACATTTTTTTATCCAGAGCTGCGGAAGTAGCTCTTGTTCCATTAGCATTTGTATCATTACACTTTCTTAAACGCCTACAGTAATTATAGATTTTACACAAAACAGCTTTGCTCGAAATCATCAGTTGCAATTCATCTGCTACTAAAGAGAAACGTATAGAACGATCTTCCACTGCCAACATCAAGCACTTCATCGCTCGACCCGCTGCTACTCCTGGCGTTCAGTTGGCTCACTCATGGCTGTGTTATCGAACTCATCCATCAATTGCTTCTTATACTGATATCGGTTTTTGGACATTTCATTATGTGATATATTCATTAGTACTCCTGAATCTTTTTCCATAAATTCTGTTTTATGTGTACTTTCGGAGATTTCGTCTTCGGTATGCGCCTTGGCAACTACCTGTTTCAAAAGCAGATTTCATGGAAATAAGATCACATATACCTCGTGTTAATTTTAACATTTCATGCCCCGAATAACCCATCGGGCTCTTCAATGTCTTTATAAAATCTGAAAACTTTTCTTTTCAATCCCAATGTAAGAAAGGCAGAATGAAAATACAGCTAAAAGTAGATGATCAGGATGACTTATGGTGTGTAGATGGAAACATACCGTTTCGAGCAGCTCGTTTTGTATGGCGCTTCAAGCTAACCAGACTTCTCCCCAGGTTTCAGAATAGCTTCTTTGTTCCTCACGTGCCGACCCACTGTCAAGAAGTTCCGTGTTTGCAGAAAGCCGTTTCACCCGACAAGAATGGTTTATCTTCTAATGCCCCTTAATGACACTGAAGTCCATGTGCGGATACCTGAGTATTGAAAACACTTTGAACACACAAGGAAAAAATAGACAAAGTAATGAACAGGAGTTAACTATCGTAGATCAAAGGCTTGCTAAACAAGTTGAAGTTTTGGTTCTCCCTAGCTCTGCAAGACCACCCTCAGCCGATCGGGATTGTTTTATTCCAGTGACCAGCAATAAGCCTAAATCCAGTGACATAGATTCCAAGGTGAACTACGCACATGATGATGAGTGGTAGCATAATCTACTTGGCTTGCTATTAGAAATGGCTTAAAAAGCATTGAAAACGCCATGGACTTCTTTTCCTTCATCTTCAGATGATCAAACTTCAAGCCTTCTAACACAGCAGTTGGAAGTGTAGGAGTCCCAGCAATGCGATCTTGGAGACACAAAAGTCCATCACTGATAAAGAGAAAATATCGCACCGCTTGCAAATTTGTGGGAACCGTCCTTTTAGTCGATAATACAAATGTTACAGATTGTAACTAGAACGGTATGGTAATAATTTCGCGCTTCACAGATCTGCTGCGAGTGGCATATCGGAATTGGCGAGGTCGAAACACATTCCGCGGTTTCCCATTCACCAGTATTATCACAACTTGGCAAGTAATCAACATGCGGGGCATATTTTGTATCACGGTGCAGGATGGCATAAAAATACACCGCAAGCGGTGTGTTCTAGCATTGCACTATCGTCGCAGAAAATGCAGAAAGCAATGGTAAAGAAGAAAAATGCATTTCAGCAATAATTCTAAATGTTTGCCAAACAGATGACTGTGTAAGCTTGAGATTGCCCAATGTACAACAAGTGTTTCTCTCATTGATTGGGCGTATCTGCGGTTAGCTGCGCTTAAACACTTGGAGCCGGGATGCCCATTTTGCTGTACTAGTACATCGATGCCAGGGCTAAATGCACATGTGAAATTCTGCCGTGTTTAAATCACTCATGGTACTTCGTGCGAATCATCGTATGATTGGCTAAGCAATTGGTGTATCTGTAAAGTTTTTCCAAGGTTGTAGCAAAATTTCACACACATGCGTTGTTCTTTCATTGTCTGTTTGGCCCTAATTCGACCAACAGCTGGTGCACATCTCACTTCAGCAGCTGTGACTTCCCAAAGAACAGTCAACACGAAATGCGACAAATGACAGTTGGTTGTCTAAGCACGCCATCACATGCGCTTAGTAACCGCAGCCCCCTCTCTCCTCAGGTTGCCGCGCTAGTACAAAAGTTCTGTTTCTTTTTGAGGTAACCCGTCGCTAACGGACTGGAGGGAAACACCTTGAACTAGGCGCACAAATACTTAGCTGAACGGCCAATGATGAATATATAGGTGGAATGAAAGTAATGACGAGCTAAATTAAAAATTAAAATTAAAATAAACGAAACACATTACACATACACATACACAAATAAATGAAACACAACGAAAACACACACAAATAAACGAAACACACACAAGCGAAAAACATAAACAACTAAGAGAGATAAACTTATGTTTCAAATAAAAATTAAATTAAGCTTGAAAAACATTATGATGAAACCAACGAACATATGCGTTTACAAGTTTAGATGCAAAAACAATCACTTGTTTCAAGTATATATATATATATATATAACTAAATTACAAGTAAAATAAACTGAAAAGTTAACTGACGTGATAAGAGATAAGACTGTCATAAGTAAATAAAACATAAGATTTTACATATGTTCGTCGCAGTTAGACACAGACAGACAGCCACCACACATCCAGTAAAGCACTAGGCGGCCGTTTCGTCCTATTGAGACTCGTCAGTAGCGCGCACCCGCCGAATCCTGCCGGATTCGAACCCACGACCTTACTCTTGCGAGTCAGCGACTTATGTCACTGCACATTCACAACATGCAAGACAGTGGAGGATGAGCCGCGCTATATCGCAGTTAGATATCAGTCATGGCGGTCCGCTTCAGTCGCCCATGGCTCAGTGACATAAGTCGCTGACACGCAAGAGTAAGGTCATGGGTTCGAATCCGGCAGGATTCGGCGGGTGCGCGCTACTGACGAGTCCCAATAGGACGTAACTGCCGTCTAGCGCTTTCCTGGATGTGTGGTGGCAGTCTGCCTGTGGCTAACTGCGACGAACTTATGTAGAACCCAATAAATCCCCCTAATACTTACAAACAATCAATAGTTGTCTTAGCAGCTTACATGCCACCTCGATTGGTGGCGGCTTGCAAGGGAAGTCGTCGCTCTGGGGGCCAGCCCTGTCCTCTGCACATTCACAACATGCAAGACAGTGGCGGATGAGCCGCGCTATATCGCAGTTAGATATCAGTCATGGCGGTCCGCTGCCGTCGCCCACGGCTTAGTGACATAAGTCGCTGACTCGCAAGCGTAAGGTCATGGGTTCGAATCCGGCAGGATTCGGCGGGTGCGCGCTACTGACGAGTCCCAATAGGACGAAACGGCCGCTAGCGCTTTCCTGAATGTGTGGTGGCAGTTTGCCTGTGTCTAACTGCGACGAACTTATGTAACACCCAATAAATCCCCCTACTACTTACAAAACATAAGATTACAGGAACATGATAGTGTAAATCAGCGACCATATTCATACGCAATTTTAGGTGCACGCATTGATCAATTGTTATTCATTTTTCATCACGCAATGGCTAATTGGTATCAGAAGAAGAGGATTAGCTGCGAAGAGATCTCTTTTCGATAATTCTCCTTAGGCTTTTACAGTTACGAGCAAACTTGATACAACACGATAAGATATGTAAAGCTGCAGTAGTGAATAGTGAGGTCACAGTTCAACGGAAGTCCAACGAGCCAATAGATAGATCAATCAATGCAATCAGGTGGTAAACGCCACGCGAATCATTCGTTGTATATCAGTTCATCTGCGCCTGTGATGTCAAGTACCTCGGACACACGATCAGGCGTCTGTCTAAGAGAATAGCGGAACACTGTCCTGCCTCTTTACGGCACGGTACAGTTAAGTATGTCCGTACCTCCCTCTTTGAACACCTGATTAGTACGGGACATCACGTTCGGACCAATGACGCTTTCAGAGTTCTTTATGCTCTATATAAACGTAGCGCAAAAGGACTCAGGAAGCACCTGTTGGCTACTTCGGAAGCAATGACAATCACGCTGATGCAACCGGAGTTATGCAAGCAGAGAATGCTTGTACAAGCGCTCACGCTGTCTTGGCCGGAAAGATAGACGCCGTCCGTACCTATCTTTTCCAAGGACTAACTCTGAGCTTTGACACCAAATCAACCATTTCTTTCTTGTTATGTTGGCCTTTCAGATTTTGGGGTGTGAAGGCGCATGACGTTTACCACCTGATTGCATTAACTGGTCTATTGATTGATTTGTTGACCTTCCGTTGAACTGTGACCTAACCATTCACTACTGCAGGTTTACATAGCTTATCGTGTTGGGTCGTTTTCACATAACGGTAAATGCCAGAGGAGAGCTAGCGAAAAGAGATCTCTACGCAGCAAATCCTCTCTGCTAACATATAACTGGGCATAATACACGGATTAATTAGCATCAGACAATAGCTGCTTTATTGAACAACGCAGCAAATGTTCGACGTATTC